AATGTGTATATGAATATGTATTTCTTTGGTATGGAATATGTATTAAATGCAATGTGTGGCTTGGGGCGTTACAGAACGGTATCAGAGCCCGAGTTTAAGGGATTTAGGTATTTTAACAGCATGATACCTAGACTTAAACTGTTTTATTGCATGTTAAGGGTCCCGGACATAGTTAGCACCATTGGAAATAAATATGATAAGTTGAGAGAACAGTGTGTAAGGTAAATTTTAATTACGCCTGGCCAGTGTAATTATAAATTTACAGGTATATATCTGAAGTTGAATACTTTATTGTATTTGGGAATGTGAATACGTGAATATTAATATTGAATTCTTCAGATGTCTAACCGCACAAGAAGATCTGAAAGAATAGCTCACCCAGAAAATGAGGAAAGGGAGGAATCATTGGTCAATTTTCCAACCAGTACGACTGGAAATAGAGGCCGTGGAAGACCAAGAGGAAGAGGAAGAGGAAGAGGGAGGAGTCAGTCACAAGGAAGAGGACGAACTGAAATATACTCTGAACAGGAAGAATCACATTCTGGGAATATTCAGGGAGAAATAGTACCACACCCGGAATATATAACCAGAGATGTATTGGCAGAAGAAATGGGAAAGTTGTGAGAAACTTTGATAGATATCATGAAGATACCTACCAAAGTTGAAACAGAAAGAGTAGAGGTTTATCCGTCTGCTCCAATTACTCAAAATAGAGAAGGTGATATTAAAACATTTTTAGCATGTAAACCACCAACCTTTTCTGGAGAAAGGGATCCGGTAAAGGCAATGTGTTGGATCAAAGAAATGGAATCGGTGTTTAATACTATTCGATGCCCGGAAACAGACAARGTACGATTTGCTGTTTCAGTATTGAAATCTAATGCTTTATTCTGGTGGGAAGTAGAATCTTCTACCAGAACGGATGTGTTACAAAATATGTCATGGATAGAATTTATGGATCGATTTAAAAATCAATTNATATATATATATATATATATATATATATATATATATATTCTTTTTGCAAAAAGGAGGGTCGGTAAAAAAATATTTTAGCCAATTTATTTTATATGGTTAACATTTTTTTGTTAAAAAGATTGACCAAAATGAGTCAACCCATGAGCTCTAAGTGTCGGACAAAATAAGCCAACAACATGAATTTAGATGATCGATCAATAGGAGCCAACCTCATTAGTTGCCACAAAGACATCTCAACCTCCCTTCTTATACCCATCATTCATTGTAAATCTTTTATATCTCCATTAATGTGGGATACACAAACTCAACCACAATTCAAGAAATAAAGAATACTCACTTCTTAAAATGTCACCTCATTCTTTGTGGGTTTTACTTTAATTATATATATAAAGATATAGATATAATATCACACTCTACCAATGTATCATTTTTTCATCAATTTGAGATTTCTAACAGCCAACCACAACGCAAGATTTTAAAATATATCACTCTCAAGATGTAGTCTCAATATTTTAAAAATCATCTTTTTATATAGAATAAGCAAACTTAACCACATTTCAAAATTTAAGAAATATTCAAATCTCATATTGATAATTGCAAGTAAAGGGGTTGGCTCATTTGAGCCAAAAACATGACTTCAACCAAAAAATCACCTCCTATTTTCATATATATATATATATATATATATATATATACTTGAGATCATATGAGGCCAAAGGTTTTCCATGAGAATCATAAGAGCAATTCTTAACCCTTGGATTAGATCTACAATCGTCAGACATGAACATTCATAAACGCCACGAGACTTCTCAATAATTACAAAATTGTCACTGTGCAACTTTAAACCATTAGATCATTAGCTTATAAAGTTGATCAATGAACATATATTGATCTTACGGGTCTCATGAAAAGTCTTAGGTCTCACGTGAATCCAACCCTATATATATATATATACACACCCTTACATTCTTTCTACTTTCTTTTTGTCAATATAATATCTTCTTACCAATGTAGGAAAACTAAACAATATTATAATTCAAATATATATATACCCATACATTCCTTCTACTTTCTTTTTGTCAATATATTATCTTTTTACCAATGTAGAAAAAGTAAACAATACTATAATTCTAAACTTTCAAAATACTCAAATTATATAATGTCACCTCAACTCTCATTGTTGTTCCTTCATAATAAAAAAAATTATCACTCCAAAATTAGAGGTCAAACAATAGCTTACATAGTTATATTGCTCTTTTAATTTTCGAACCATTACACGCTTATTTTATATATACTTATCATACTCTATCAATGTATCATAAAGTGGGATTTTCAAAAACCAACCACAACGCAAGATTTTAAAATACACCACTCACAAAATGTCATCTCAATATTTTAAAGTTATTTTTATGATATAAACAAACTTAAACACATTTCAAGATTTAAAAACATACTCAAATCTCATAACGACAATTGCAAATGAAATGGTTGACTCATTTGAGCCAATATCATGACTTGCAACAAAAAGAATCACTTCCTCTTTTCATATATATACACATTTCATTCCTTCTACTTTTTTTCTTCCTACCAATGTGAGATAAACAAATTTAACCATATTTCAAGATTTAAGGAATACTCAAATCTCATAGTATCATGTCATTCTAGTTGGTTTCTCCTTTAATATATATATATATATATATATATAGATTATTAATGTAATAACTATATTAAAGTTAAAATTAAATTGATCCATCTAATTTATGCTATTTTCTCAAAAAAAATATTAAATATATATTACATTAATAATTAATATATAGTAATTTAATGCTCAAAACATTCATGATTTATTATGTTTTCAGATTTTTGAGAAATTTACGTAAATAATTATTTTATAAAATAAATTTGTTTTTTAGCTGTTTTATAAAGTTATTTCTTGAAATAAAAAATTACGAAAAAAAGGAATTTAATGTGTAAAGTTTATTTTCAAAGAAAAAAAATAAAAATTAAACTTTATATAAAAATAAGGGAGTTTATGCAAAAAAAAAAAAAAAAAAAAAAGACTTTATACACAAAAATCTATTTTGTTGTATAATTTTTTTTAACTTATTTCTTTTTTTACCTGAACTTTACACAAGATCTTTTTTCTACATGAAGTTTTTTTTTGCTTAAACTCCTTTTTTAACTTCTTTTTTATCTGGAAATAAATTTTACGTAGAAAATCTTTTTTTGCATAAAAATTTATCGTAAATTTTGGCTATTTAAGAAAATGGATTTCTAAGAGGGTTAAAAAGTGAAATTTATTTTGTAAAACAAATATATTGATAAATTTGGCCAAATTTTCTCAATATTTTGGCTAGGTGACTGTTTGCAAAGGATCAATAAGGGATATTTTGGCTAGGTGACTGTTTGCAAAGATTCAATAAGACAGTTTACAGTTGTTGAATAATTTGATGTAAAATTAAGAAGTTTTTGAAATATAATGTTTAAAAAAATATAATTATTTGATAATTGTTTACAATAAAATTATGATGTTTAATAACTAAAAGAAACTTAGAATATAAAATTATTAAGAGGATTTAAAAACTATCAAAAGGAATTTTTTTTATGAAACAAAATTAATCTATTGACGATTGAAAGAAACGTTTTTAATAAAACTATCATCAGGTAAATAATTACTCCTAACCACAGGTTTTTGTGGATTGCCTTATCTTCCTTATCTCATCCACAAACTCTTCAATATTCCGGTCAGATGTTCCACCGTCTTCCACCGCCTCCTCCGCCGCTTTCTTCCACTTCAATGCATTCTTTTTCATCTCCACCGCCTTTACACCATTAGTTGCCTCCTTTAAGCACTCTCCGATCTCCTCCCTCTCAATCACTCGATTCTCAGCTTCACCCCTACACATCCTAACCCCAACCTTCCATTCATCAACCACGTACTTGGCATCCGTCACTTGATCCCCCCACTGCGGGAACGCCACCACCGGAACACCGCTCGACAACGCCTCCATCGTCGAGTTCCACCCACAGTGAGTCACGAAAGAAGACACCGCCGGGTGGGTTAATACCTGTGCTTGTGGGCTCCAGTGAACCACCATCCCCCTCTCACCCGCCGCCTCCAAGAACCCCTCCGGCAACCTGCCGCATTTCACACCATTAAAAGTATCACCCTTTCTCATGACCCACAAAAACGACACTCCAGAATTCAAAACCCCATAAGCCATCTCGGTCAACTGTTGTTGGCTCAAGCTCACAACACTTCCGAATGATATGTAAACCACGGATGAAGGTTGCTTTGAGCCGAGCCATTCAAGACAATCGTCGGCCTTTAGCAAGTCGCCGGAGATATTGGAGCTAGATTCAAGTAATGGGTTTTTGAACAGCGGACCAACAGGTCGGATAGGAMATATTTGAGACATATACTTGATAAGATCACCCTCAAGTTCTTGAAATGTTTCCATTAATACACAAAACGTCTTTGACAAGTTCTTGAACTGGCCTAAAACGGCTCTTCTCAAGAACGGATAAGGCGTTGAAGGATGTAAAAAGCTTGGAATCTCATCGGACTTCAACACCGGCATGCTTGGCAACTGAACGTCGATGTCTGGTTGTTTTTCACTTGGAAAAGGCACTAATGAATTCTCGTAATGATAATACGACGAAAAACAAGCACAAGATTGCACCCAAAGCATTGCTGAAGGGATGTTAAGCTCTTCTCCTAAGTCGGAAACCCAAGGGAGAAAAGGGTTGTTGATTAGGCACGTAACCGGCCGGCCGTTTTGTGCATGGTGGTTGATGATTCCGGTTAGTGCTCTCTTTCCGTAAGCCTCAAGTTTAAGTAAATACGTGTCAAGGTCATGGACTTCTTCATCGTCATCTTCAGAGCATCCATCGTCAAAGAACTCAAAGCGGATCATCCCACCACGGTTGCCTACCGGAGTAGGATCACCAGAGACGTCGGCACCGGCTTTCTTCATTTTGTTTCCGATGGATTTGGTGGCAGAGAAGGTGACAAGCAGGTTACTCTTTGAAGCTATGAGCTTACCAAGTCTGAGGAGTGGATTGACATGGCCTTGTCCTGGAAAGGTGACTAGAAACACATGCACAAGATCTTCTTTAGACGCCATTGATGATTTGAAGGTGTTTGTGTGATGGAGAGTAAGAGAGTGAGGTATTTGGGTAGGATGAACTATACACTGAGTGTGTAGATATATGCAGTGACTAAGGATGCATGGTGTTGAAACATCGAAGACGTTGAAGAGATAGCAAATTTTAATTTGTGAATGTCAAGTACAAATATCACTTCAAACAAAGCCCTGCAAATGCATGCGTAATTGCTTACGTATTAAACATGACATGACAAATTTGCAAAAATGTTTCCTTTGAACATAAAAATAACGATTTTGAGCCGATATTTATTTTCATTAAAACTGTCTCTAAAATATAAAAAGTAGAAAAGAGTTTTTTTTTTTTCCTCTAAATATAGAGATAACAAAAAAATTATAATCAATGTTGGATTCTTCAAAATGTAGAATCTGTTAAAAATGAATGTAATACATTTTAGAGATTTTGACTTCTAATTCTATGTTTTGAAGAATTTTTTTAGAGAATCTTATTACATTTTAAAAATAAGTCCGTTTTAAAAATGATTACAAAAATGAATTGGTTGAAAATAACATAAAAAAATGTGAAATTTATGTTTTCATTGATTATTTTCATAAATGTGACCTTTTTACACGTGAAGTTGGTTACAAAATTTGTTTTCATGTTTTCTTTTTAATTAAGCTGTATTTTCAAGTGTGAAAAATATCGGTATTTATAACTAAAACCTTATTTTTGAATTATAAATGGAAGTCCGTATGGATCAATAATTGCACGTTTGCATCGAACATTTTTTTTTTGAAAAAACATCAAACTTTGATCGTATGAAAACTTGATTGATTATTACATTGAAACCTTTATGTTTTTTTTTAAGTTATACCAAATTATGACATTTAGGTATGGAGAAGAAGTTGGCAAAGTTGTGATCACCGGATTTTATGGCAACAAACACATGGGGTAAATCTTATATGATTATTATTTGATTGTGAATGTATGAGGTGTTGATAAATGCCGTATGTATGCATGATTGTTATACATGATTTTACTACTAAAAAAAGGTATCACCAACGGATTTTTCTAGTGGAATTTCCGTCGAAAATATTCCCGACGGATTTTCGACAGATCCCAAAAAGGTAAAAAAAATCAACTTTTATCCATATCCGCCACAGATCCCCCACAAATCCCCCACTGAATTTTTGGAAAAAGAAAATTAAAATTATTTTAAACGGTTTTTCAACGGATTTGTGACGGATTTTTTACTTATTCAAAACCGTCACAAATCCGTCGCAAAATTTGTCTAATTTATTTAAATAAATTAATTAGCGTTAATCGAAAACAATTTCCGACGGAATTTAATTTTTAATAAAAACAAATCGAATTCTGTCGGAAATTTGTAATCTTTATATATATANATGCCTATGAAGGAATTTGATGTGGTAGTAGGAATGGATTGGTTGGCAGAAAATAAGGCTAGTATCGTTTGCAATGAAAAGATGATTAGAATTAAGTTACTTGATAAAAGAACAGTTGTGCTTTACGGTGATCATCAGAATCATCATATTGGTTTATTATCTGTGATGAAAGCCAGAAAGTGTATTCAAAAGAAGTGCCAAGGATTTTTAGCATACATAATTGATGCTAAGAAAGAAAAGAGTAAGCAAGAGTTTATACCCATGGTTAGTGAATATCCTGAAGTCTTTCCAGAAGATTTGTCAGGATTGCCTCCAGATCGAGTTATTGAGTTCGAGATTAATTTAATACCTGGAGCGGCGCCTGTAGCAAAAGCACCGTATAGATTAGCTCCATCAGAATTAAAAGAACTGGTTTCACAATTGAAAGATTTATCAGACAAAGGATTTATCAGGTCAAGTACTTCACCGTGGGGAGCTCCAGTTTTGTTTGTGAAAAAGAAAGATGGTACTATGTGTATGTGTATTGATTACCGGGAATTGAACAAATTGACCATAAAGAATAAGTATCCACTGCCCAGGATCGATGATTTGTTTGATCAATTGGTAGGAGCCTGCTACTTTTCAAAGATTGATTTGCGATCTGGATACCATCAGTTGAAAGTCAAAGAAAGTGATATAGCAAAAACAGCATTTCGAACCAGGTATGGACATCATGAATTTTTGGTTATGCCATTTGGTTTGACTAATGGACCTGCAGCTTTCATGGATCTAATGAATCGAATATGTAAAGAATACCTCGTTAAATTTGTTATTGTATTTATCGATGATATTCTTATATATTCCAAAACTCAAGAAGAACATGCAGAACATCTGAGATTAATCCTTGAACTTCTGAAAAGAGAAAAGCTGTATGCTAAACTGTCAAAATGTGAATTTTGGTTAAGAGAAGTTCAGATTTTGAGGCATGTTATATCTAAGGATGGAATAAAGGTAGATCCAGCAAAGATTGAGGCTGTTGCAAAATGGGAGGTACCGAAAACGCCATCTGAAATTCGAAGTTTCTTGGGATTGGCGGGCTATTATCGCAAGTTTATTAAGGATTTCTCTAAAATAGCCGTACCTTTGACAAAGTTAACACGAAAGAATGTTAAATTTCAATAGGAAGAACAACAGCAGAAGGCCTTTCAGTTATTAAAAGACCATCTTTGCAGTGCTCCGATACTCTCCTTGCCTGATGGAACTGAAGATTTCATTGTATATAGCGATGCATCAAAGTTGGGTTTAGGCTGTGTCTTGATGCAAAGAGGAAAAGTTATATCATATGCGTCTCGACAATTGAAAGATCATGAAAAACACTACCCGACTCATG